ATCTAGATAGGACACTACATACATTTCAAGTGACGTCAAAACTAAGCCAAAACCATGCTCTACCTACTGTAAGAACACTCACTGACGCACATCTGCATCTAGAATTATTTCCGATTAAGATCATCATCCGATTAAAATGATGAATTCACTGTGACTTTTCATCAAGGCAAGTGTAAATAGGCTTTTGTTACGCTAAAGCATTGCGAATTACCATCTAAGGCTTCATCAATTTACCATCAGGCGGAATCGTGTCATTGTATTGAAGCACTGGCAAATATCTATTACACATTTATTTAAAACCAGTTTAGAAGAAGATCAATACTCTACAAGCAGTACGTAGACGACACTTTAACAATTCTACCTTTAGATAAAGTAACTGCGTTTTTAGACCATCTTAATACTCCATAAATTCTAAAATTCAGTTCACAATGCAGTTAGAGGCAAACAATTATTTAGCTTTTCTAGATGTGTTAGTAATTCGGAATCCTGATAACACCTTGAGCCACACTGTGTATAGAAAAAAGACCCATACAGATAGATATTTAAACGGTGATTCTCATCACCATCCTTCGCAGTAAGCTACCGTGGGTAAATCTTTGTTTCAGAGAGCACGAGGAATCTGTGACAGTAAACACCTGGTCGTCGAGGTCCAACACGTCAAGCTAGTTTTGCACGACAATAAGCTTTGGGTCCCGCTTCCCTCTAGAGGTTAGAGGGAAGCGGGACCCAAAGCTTATTGTGTACTTACGTCACAGTGAACGAGTGAAGCCGGCCACATTCGAGCGAGTGCCTGCTGTACTGCCATATGTCAGAGGTGTCACTGACAAGATTGGCTACATCTTGAAGCGTGCTTCCATTAAAACATACTTCAAGCCGCCGAAGAAGGTTAGTCAGTTTTTACCATCACTTAAGTGTAATGTCCCTCTGCAAGATGCAGGAGTGTACAAGCTTGATTGTGAATGTGGTCTCTCTTATATAGGACAAACTAAAAGATCCATAAAAACCTGCGTTCTTAGAACACATAGCTGATGTGAAGAATCGACGCTCCGGGAAGTCTGCAGTCTGTGAACACGCACAGGATTGCCCCCGTCACTACATTAGATTTCATAGACCACAAATCCTCGCTAAAGAACACCGATTCCTTCCAAGTATTATTCGCGAGGCTCTTGAAATTAAAAAAAAAACATCCTAATTTCAATAGAGAAGATGGCTGGGTGCTACCATCTGCTTGGGATCCTATAATTAATAAAATTAAATCCCAAACTAAGCATACAACTGCAAAACTTCAAGAGACTGTAAGTTCATACTGCGTAGATCGGAACAACAACTAATAATTTTTAATCTGGAGGTAGCCGTGGTTAACTATGACATTGGGACGTCAAAGAACTCAGTCGCCCCCACAGAAATCGTAATAATAAGACACTTGTGTCTTATTATTACGATTTCTGTGGTCGCCCCCGTCACCATGGGTGCTGTAAAGTACTCGAAACGTCGGGAATATAAAATAAGTTAATATACGCGATAAAATCACTAAAACTAGTTTTATTTAAATGTGTAGTGTTCGCGTAAATATAAGAAATCATTATGTATAGTATAACACACTTGTATAATAAGTAGATACTAAAAAATTGCAATCAACTACGTGGTTTTATGCGTATGTGTGTATGTCTAGCAGTGAACTTTCATAAAAACATAAACATGAACACTCACGCCTGTCACCCAGAGTGGTAGGCAAAGACTATGGACTTCCATTCAGCACGGTCTTGACACACCTCTCTCGCCTCCTCCACATCCATACCACTACACATACATGCTACTCTCTTAAGGGTACTCTTAATTTGGGCCATTTTCAATAAATCGCCAATTTGGTCGATAAACCTTCGCCTAGGGCTTCCCTTCCCGATTCTGCGAACGAAGCGTTCCTTTCTTAATCCTAGTCACAACATCATCTTGCAAACCACACTCTTCTCTTTTCACACAATTTCTCACCCTGCAGCATTTATCCCACTCTCGTGCTTCTTTTGCGACGCCCAACTTTCACTACCATACATTAAAGTAGAGACTAACACAGCATTACACAAAAATGACTTTCATTTACAATTACATATATGTGATCTATATTGAATAAAAAATTATTCTATTCTATTTTAGTCTATTCAATTCTATTCTATTGTGAATTGCCATACGTGCCTTTTTGGACACATTCTGAGCCCCATTTACTCTATTTCCTGAGTTCTCTCGTCGTTCTCTATATCTTCATCATATCTTTCATATATTATATATCTTTTTTTTTTAAAGAAAGAAGAAAGATGTGTGCGTGAGTACTTACATCGAACATGTAAAGAAGTTGAAGTTAAAATTTAAGTGGTGTTCTGTCTATCTTCCTTAGTTTTATATCTCATGTCCAACTAATGATGAACTTACCGAGGAGAGCTAGACATCCAAAAGACGTCAAAGCCACTCTCCTGCGGTGGAGGCGAGAACAGCACACTGAACTCCGACCATGGAGGCGGGGTAGAAAGTCCGGCGCTCACTTTTAAATCTGCCATTGCAGCTCACATGTACTAATTTTAAACTGGCTGACCAGTTTGCTACACAGTGTAGGGTAAGAATATCAACTTATCACCAATCAATAAAAGTTGGTCTGAGACCCAAAAGAAAATATTTATTGGCTGGAATTCAGCACCAGGAACGCCGACTTGGCGTGATACTGCGACCAGTAAGCCTTTAAAGGCACTTCTGATCGTTAAAAACAAAGTATCAAACCTACATAGTTTCAATTATTTTTCCTATTTAATTAACGAGCTCTCTCCTTTACATTTCTATAGAGCCATTGATGTCTTCACTTGCTTACTTGCTGTTAACGGTTTTAATTTCTTCAAGTTCATTTGTAACTATACTATTATATTCCTCTGTTTTATACATTACTAGATGGCCCAGCAGATGTTGCTCTGCTAATTCTTGTATGTGCTGCGATGAGCTATACTTACTATAATTCACTCAGGACTATTTATAGTGGAAGAAATATTACTACAATATAAAGTTTATCGATCGCAGTGCCCCTTCAGGTCTCTATATTCATTTTTGCCCCTAAATCAATATAATGTGAATAATATTAGTAATTTTATTCCATATTTATAAATTTTACCAAAAGTAAAAGCCGAATTCTAAAAAGTAATTTTTCTGCCACTCTTATTGATGGAATTTTTTCTCCAAATTTATATGGAACGATCAAGGAAATATAAACTATTTAAAAAATAAATAATCTTCAAAATCGCGTAACATACAAACCAAATAAACATACATTCGCATTAATTAACCTCCTCCTTTTTTGAAATCGGCTAGAAAATAGTATTGTTATTTATGTTTTATTTTAATACCTTTTGCAGCGCCATCTAACGGCGAGTAGTACCACAGATTACTTAATATGGTAGTACGAACCATCGTCTCCTAAACAAATATTTTGTATGAATTTGATCTCAATCAGTCAATTCTTTCAAAAGTTACACGATCACTAAAAGACCATCGATTGTATAATATATATAAAGATATAAAAACTATAAAATATGATGCTCTTCAAAACAGGAGGCTCATGTCCAACTCTCGCCTTGTATGGCCTTATGCAGAAGGTGTAAAGAATGGGCTCTAAATGTTTTAGAATATTTTTTTGTTTCAGTCATAAGCAATATTTAATATATTATATTATTAGTAATTATATAAGACATACTTCAAACTGTTCACTAGAAGTTACTAAGCGTTTCTAACCAACTACAGCGGAATCTACAAGAAGAGTAACGTCTCTGGCTGCCATGAATGTATGGATGTCGGTTTATATATTTGGCCATAATTTTTAAACCTGTTCTCTACTAACAATAACTCCTTAAGTCGTCAGATTTTGACATTCGATATCTCAATCTATACAAATAAATAAAATTGAAGTGTCTGTTTGTAATGTCGAAATAACAGCTTTTTTGTCGCGGGGAACAGCTAGTCTATACTAATATTATAAAGAGGCAAAGTTTTGTGAGTTTGTTTGTAGGAAGTAATCTCTGGAACTATGAACCGATTTTAAAAATTCTTTCACCAGTAGAAAGCTACATTATTCTTGAGTGACATAGGCTATGTTTGATTGTAATTAATAATATTTTTTAATGTGAAATAACAATATTTGTCAATCAATTCCGAAAATATATCATAAATACTCAGTACTAAGAACCACACAAGATAATTTCATCACAACTTAAAATTTTTGACGAGTAGCAAAGTGGTGTGCTTTGCTACGCGTCAGGTCAACTAGTCATACATGAATACAAGAGTTAATGTACACACCTGTCACCCAAAGGAATAGGCAGAGTATATGGACTTCCATTTGACACGATCATGAAACACGTCTCTCGCTCCTTTTACATACATATACGCATACTAGCTCGTTGGTTCAGGATACTCTCAATTTGACCTAATTTTATCATATAACTAGCTGATACCCGCCGCGTTGCTGCCACAAAAACAATTGTCGAAATATCATTTTAAATTTGGAAGAGTTATATTGTTTAATTAGGAATGATAATATATTCATTGAATTTCAATGATATATAACTTTCAAATAAATTTGTCTGTACGATACGCGCGCCACCTACAGTAATTACATTAGCACTATGCCTATAACCTTCGCGCAAGTGCCAGCAATAAGTTGACAAAATTTTACTGCAATCTGATGTACGGTATGACAGCGCATAAAATACGATCAAACAAAAATTTATTTTTACATATTAGATTACGTCGATAAACTTTGTCTGAATAACCTTATCTCAATCAATATGTCATAATCACATGAGTAAAGAAACCGACTACTCTGTGTCATAATTGCGCAGGGTAACCATAGACAATAGCTTGATGCGCTGCAGTTAGCATTTAGCTTCGGACTGTTAGGTCAGGATGTTAGGATATTTTACTGTAAGATTATAAAAATAAAATAAAAGTAGAAAAATCTAGATACTCACGTAATTTGGTCTCACTTCTTCTTTTCACTCGTAGTTTGATCACACAGGACGATATACACTGCAACAAAAGTATTTGTTAATAAATTCATAATGTTATCTAGAACAGAATCGGTCACGGCAGTCTCAACGGAGACTGATCGCTGTAAACCATCTGCATAGCACAGGATTATGGAATAGAATTTTTTGTGGTGAAACATCTATAGCGGCGGGTCGGACCGACTGTTGGCGTGGCGACGCGTCGCCACGGCATGCGTCGCCATGCTATATGATATTATGTATGTATAGTAGTTTATTAGACATGTGTTATTCATTATTCATATTATTTATTGTTAGCTTACATAGATCCCACTACTGGACAAAAAAGAGTTGATTGAGTTGACTACAACGCGTATTGACTGACTTTGTGGTCGTAGGAAGGAAAAGGGGAGATCTCCCGCCGGGCAAGGTGTTCTGCTCGGAGAGCGGCCAACGCTCCGATTGGTAGTTCGGAGCTATTCTATATATACTGCTTTAACTTCGGAACTTTGTTAGCGCGATTTAGGCTTCGATGTGTTTCGCTTGTGGCGCGACGACAGCGCCACCACATCACCCCCTTGCTCAGACCGGAGGTCGATAGTGTAGTCTAGATGTCGACGAATTTGCAAGTGCCAGGGTATTGCCTTATAGTCTGCGGTGAGTCGAGAAGAAGGCAAGTAATCTGCGAGAGTGCCATAAAGCAGAGGCGAGCAGTAAGGCTCAGAGCCGTGCCGAACACTGTAGCGCAGAGAGTAGCTTGAAGGAACAGGAAGCATTATTATTCCAGTGCTGCGATGAACCTTTTGTAAAGCTAGATGGCTTGCAGAATGTGAAGACTGCAGACAATATCTGCTCGGGAGCGAATGAATGGGGTACTTGAGGATGAAGACGAAGGTTTGAAGTTGTAGTTTCCGAAGGTTATTGGTTGCGTGTTCATATCACGTCGGGTGGTCACCACTGTGGCGGGTGGAAGGAAAGGGGAGATCTCCCGTCGGGCAAGGTGTTCTGCCCGGGGAGCGGCCAACGCTCCGGTTGGTGGTTCGGAGCTATTCTATTTATATATGCTGCTTTAACTTCGGAACTTTGTTAATGCAATTTAGGCTTCGATGTGTTTCGCTTGTGGCGCGACGACAGCGCCTCCACAACTTCACATAGGTATACCTAAAAATTATTTCCGAAATATTTTTTTAACTTCTCAAATATGTAGGTTTTCTCGCAATATTTTGTTTCACCACCGAGAACTTGGTAAATCGAAACTTCAAATTGCAATTAAAATGTGATTGGTGTCGGTGCGGATCGAATTTGGGTTGCTTACGATCGGTTCGATTACCGGATAACTTTCAAGATTCTATCAATGTAGTTTTACTCTTAGTTAAAAAAAAATAAACATTAAAAAAAAGAAATTTTCTACTCATGCTGGAATATATATTAAAACATTTATTATTGATAGTAGTTCTTTGAGGCGAATTTTTAATTTTTGTATTTAATGAATATAAATGTTTACTAAATAAACAGTCATCTTATTCTTGAAAAAAATTCTTAATATTTTATTTTTCATCATGCTATATTTATTTCCTGTCGTAAACTATCCTTTTATGCATATTACCTGTACAAAATAATTTCGATGTTTCACATCTGGCAGGCGTCCCGCGACAGCTCACAATTTTTTTTATTTCGATATATTTTAAAAATATTACAATAAGTGTTTCATTAAATCTATAGGTTTTTGAATTAGTGTCAAACTGGGTTTCAGGAGCGTATATCGTGCATGTGCGAGAGTAACACAGATGCACTGCTAAATACTTTAGATTCGGTGGTCATTTGACCGTCTTAAATATAGATAGAGACTTAAAAACCTCTAGAACCCTGATCATGAGCATCAAGGTACCTTAAAAAAACCAACATCCCTATAATTACGATGCCATTACAGTCTACTAAAAGTCAATTTCTGAACATAGACCCTCCCATTATATTTGCCTAAGTTCTTACGATTAATTAGCGGGTTGGCAACGTTAGTTGGTTTTATATGATTAATCTACTGCTGACTAGCTCTTAGGAGCGACCTTTTACGGCACCAATGAGATGATATGGAGTAGTGGATATTGACGTAGCGCACGTTATGGAAGCTCTCAAGAGACACGACTTTTTCCGACTTAGTTGACAAATATCTTTAAAACTTATGGTCATACTATAATATGTAGCCTATGCCCATTTGGAGTAATGTAACTTTTAAATGGTGAAAGAATTTTTTTTAAAATAAATGCAATGGTTCCTAAGATTACCCTCCACATATATAAAAACTCAAAATTCGCACTCTCTCAATAAAATATTAGTATATATATAGATATATATTGAATTTTACGGCGATACATTGAAAATGGGCCAGATTAGGAATACCCTTAACCGACTAGCGTGTATGCGTATATGGATATATCTATATGGATGTAAAGAAGTTGAGAGAGGTGTGTCAGGATCGCGCCGAATGGAAGTCCGTAGTCTATGCCTACCCCTCTGGGTGACAGGCGTGAGTGTTTGTGTTGTGTGTGTTATACATACCTAGTCAGGTCATAAATTCTGTCACATGTTTAATATAAAATAATTGAAACAAGTTTATTCATTATGTAACCATTTATATACCAGAATGAACTTAACAAAACATAGATACGTGGTAGAGCCTACGTGGTAGATACGTGGTAGAGCTTACGTGGTAGAGCCATGCTGCAGCTATATTAGTAGTATAGTTGTAGCACGAATGGGTCGGCTCGACCGGGGAAGGACCAGGCTCTCACAGAATACCAGCGTCAAATAGCAGTTTAACACTGCTGTGTTTCGTATGGTGAGTGTAGAGAACCGGAGACCCTTTTTACTGGAAAAGAGGCATTCCATCTTAGTCCTCACGAGTGACAACGCATCTGCGTTTTGATTCGCAAACGAAGATAAATGTAGATGTCCATGGGCCACAGCATCCACTTACCATCAGGTGGACTGTGTGCTCGTTTGTCACTCGATCCTATATAAAAAAAAAACAGATTCTTATGACACTAAATTTTATTCAAAATGACCTCTGTGATTTTGAATACAGGCCTTCAATCTGCGCGGCCAGTCGTCTATCGCAGCACGAACGAGGTCCACGTCAATATCGGCGGCTGCCTTAATCGAGGATGTCTTGAGTGACTCCAAATTGGGATGAGGCTTTGAGCACGCCTTTTCCTCCAAGTGTTGCCATATCTTGTAATCTAACGGATTCAAATCTGGACTGGACGAGGGCCAGTCTTCGTGCCTGATGAAGTCGATTTCACACGCCGCCAGCCAGTCTTGTGTGCTCTTCGCTCTATGAGCTGGCGCCGAATCTTGTTGGAATACCCAGTGCCTGTTATTGAACATGGTATGAGAAAAAGGTTCCACAAGGTTCGTCAGGACTGTATTTTGATACACAACTGCATTCGTTTTTACACCTTTCTCACAAAAATGTACTTCTTTTAAGCCCCAATAAGAAACTCCCAACCATACCATGAGCGAGGATGGAAAATGACCTCGTTGGATACGCGGAATACGGTTGCTCGCTTCTTCACTACTATGTGCGTACACCTTATCATTTTGTTTGTTGTAGCTCTCTTCTACGGTAAAAATTTTTTCATCCGAATAAAGAATTTCCCGATATTTTTTTCCCGCGTACCGCTTCAACAAAGCGCGGCATCTCTTCAGTCTGAGGTCCAATAGATGAGCATTCAAACGATGTCCTGTTTTTCTTCGATATGCCCGAAGCCCTAAGTCTTCATTTAACACCCTTTTCATCGTGGTTCTGCTTAAACCCATCTGAAGGGCCAACAGTTTCTGCTTACGTTTGGGATTTTTTTGAATTCGCGCCTTCACAGTTTTTATCACTGCTGGAGTCCTAACAGACCGAGGGCGACCACTTCTTGACCTGTCATCTACACTAGAGTCTTCATTGTATCGTTTGATGGTACGATAAACGAATCTTTTGGTTATATTCAAATTTTTCAGTATGTCAAAAATTTGAATTGACGCGTAACTGCAATGATGCAACGCAATAACGGCAACACGGTCTTCTTTAAGCGTCCACTCCATATTTATAAAAGGAGTAAAATTCTAAAAAGTATACAGTTTTATTTTCATGAACAATTCGAAATTCGAATTCAATAAACTTTTTTGTGGCCAGCATTCTAAAAGAAAAGTTTTTACTGTGTGACAATACTTATGACCTGACTAGGTATATAGATATATACAGATTTCAAGATTGCAATTTATTCCCTGACAAAGTATTATAATTCCCTTGAAGAATAGTGTGTGATTGAACTTTATTTTCTTACATTTATTTTTGTCCCTCGTCGAAATTGAACACATGTCAGCCTGGGTCGGAAGAATTTTTAATAAAACTAGCAGATGACGGGGTTTTTGTCGTGTTTCATATAAGATCGTATACGCTAGGCCGATGGAAGCCGAAATGAAGCCAAGGCACGTAAGTAATCACAGTGTTTCGTAACTATTTACATTAGGATAATAATAATATGTTGCTCTAAATATTAAATTTGTTATATTATGAAATTTTCCATATTCAACAGCTGTCTTAGCTGTCGCTGTTCCGACCTATCCAGTAAGTGACGCGATGAGGTTCGCTCGGACCTTTTTACAGTGTAAATATAAAATTCATTAATAACTCAACCACTTCTTTTCTTCACCTTCGGGTAAGGAATTCCAGAGTAAAGAAGTCAGAACAGTACTCATTTTATGATTATACTGTAGAACTCTGTCTTGAGTTGAAAAAGGAAATTGAAATCTTTTCTTAACATATAAAGGAGAAGCTGGATTGTTTAATATAGAAAACAGAACAAGCAGAATTCTGTGTTTAATTGTAAGCCATTTAAGGCGAAAACAATAAAGAGAAACTTGAAACATTGTTCCAACAAAACAAATATACCGTGTGAATGTGAACTCAATCCGTCAAGTCGTTCAGAAATGTACGTTCACTAGCAGACGTGTCAATTTTATAAAGATATTAAAATTAAAGATATTACTCCTTTA